GACGCTACAGGCAGAAATGACAAAGTATGATAGCAACAGGCCTGACTACACACGTGTATATATTCTTATATAAATATATAATAAGCCATATACACACACACACAGGCCTCCCCCGTAAGGAATGGCCGTACTACAATCCTCCTCTCCCTCTCCCTCTCCAGAGTCTGGGTATGCACACACAGGCCTGATGTGCTTCTCAAGTCACTGGGTCCAGGACTTGACTCACATGGTTGGCCACATGAGGTCCAGCCGCCTTACCCACCAGGATACAGAGCCAGTCCCAACTTCAAACATTTCAGATATTGTCACGTTAAGATTATTAAAAAAAGTCCTCTTTCAAAATTTTAAAAAGGCTAAACTTTTTCTATATTATTCTCTCCTAAGATAAATTTTAGTTTAATAAAAAAAAAAGTGAACATAATAAATAAAAAATGTGGGAGAGAAAAACCGGTTTTCAGACGTCTCTCTGTCGTGACTCTCCAGCCTCAGTCTCCAGGAGCACCACGCTGTGCCCAGCTCTTAGGCATACTGGGAAGTGCAGGCCACCCACCGGGCCTCGCCAGCGAGGCAGAAGTGCGCTCCCGTGTGCACCATCGTGCGGGCCCTGGGAGAACCGTCTTAATCCCGAAATGGGTCTCCCTAACAGGACTCGTACCTGCAACGTTGCAAAAGAAAATGAATATATTTGATTAAAAACAAGAGGCTTCGGCAAGGTAAAGGTGCTAAACAGAGTCTGAACAAACGGACAGTGGAAAGCACAGCGACTTGTCAGGAAGGACACACTGTGCAGGCAAGGCGTCCACAGGCACCGAGGGATGGACGTCCCAGGAGGAAAACTGCTCACGGAAAAATGGAAATGACTCCTAAACAGGCTAAAAGATGCTTACGTAAACTCATGAGAAATGCAGGTTAAAAGTCATTTGTACGAATAAGCAGATGGACAAAATTTTTAAAAATTTAATAATGAGTTGGTGTGTATGTGAGGAGAAAAACGTGCACTCACATAATGTTGAAAGTCAAAATCAAAGCAATCTCTATGTAGGGTAACTGACGACTCCACTTCTAGGAATTAATCCAGAAATACTCACACATATGCAAAATGCCTTATGCTCAAGGATACATAATGTAGCAATATTTAAAAAGCAAAAACTGGAAACACACCAATTGTCCATCAGCAGCAGAACTTGCTGTGTGGAGTGGTGTGTCCGTGCAGTGGAAATCACACAGCTATAAACCTAAGAGGACATGGGGCTGGCTCTGATGCAGCCAAGTGTGGCTCAGGAGAAGCTGGATCCCACATGGTGACCGTGGTTCGGGTACCCTGTGATCAGCCTGTGGAGCAACATGTCTAAGTGCAAGCGCTTTCCCTGTCTAAGTACACAACTACTTTCTCTGTGTTACCGCTGCCCACAGGACTTGGCAGTAGCGTGCCGGACAGGTGTACAACGCCGGAGCAGTAGGCTACCCCGCACAGGCTGGGTGGGTAGTGAGCTATTCTGCTGAGGTTTACGTAAGTGCGCTCCATGATGTTCGAACACTGAAAACAAAGAAACCAGCTACCGACTCTCTCCTTAGGCCGCATCTCTGCCGTTTAACCAGTATTACTGTAACCAACAAAATCATCTAACTGCTTCCTAGTACGGCAGTGCTCCTCATTGAGGGAAGGAGACTAAACATTTGTCTTTCTAATACAGCAGACTGCAGAGAACCAGTTCTCTAAACATATATGACCCAGTCGATTACGTTTTTATCTGGTCCACAACTGTGGGGATTAATAAACTGTCATCCACATGCCTGGCCTTGTCTCTTCTACTCTCACGTATGCAGCTGACAACTTTTAGACATGCTTCATCATTTATCTTTTATTTCCATGTATTTATGTCTCTTCTACAAAAGATGCAGTGAAAATATGGTAAAAAAGACGAAAAATGCCCTATGTACCAGTATAGGGCACCTGCCAGGACAGGTCTACAGGCCTGGGGACGCTCCAGGTGAGTGAGTGGGTGAGTGAGTGAGTGAGTGGGGATGAGTGTGAAAGCCTAGAAAGTTACTGAACACCACTGTAGACTTCAAACACCGTGCCCTTAGCTACACTAAATTAAATTTGTTTCTTTCCTCAATAATACACACTGAGACCAAGAGAAATCAGGAACTAACTGGGAAGGCACAGACAGAAAGGCAGAAAGTACATTAAGCAAGTGCATTTGTTTTGGAAGCCAAGTGAAAAAAGTGTTTCAAGGGAAGGGTGGACGATGACAGTCAAATTCTTGGCAGTAGGTTAAGATTAAGCTGAGCTATGTCCATTGACTCACAAAAATGTCACCTGAGAGTTTAAGAAGGGTAGATGAGGGACCAGTCGATGGTGTAATAGTGACATTGCTGGACTCCCACATAGTAAACTGCGGTTCATGTCCCAAACCTGACGGTTTAAAACTCACGCCAGGCATGTGTGCCCAAAATCTCGAGAGAAGAACGGAGGGGAAGGGACTGTGCAGCATGTCCACCGCCCCGCCCCCCCGGGGGTGATTTGTTGCTTTCTGTCACTTGTTTTTCCAGCGAGCACACATGCCTGATAGCAAAAATCTCTCTAAAACAAAACAAAACAAAACTCCTATCAAGCTTGTATGCATATGTGCCCAAAATCCTGAGAGAAGGGACTGAGGCATGACCATCCCTCCTGGGGGGTGGTTTCTCATTTCCTGACTCTGTGGTGAATGCATGGATGCACCCTATAACAAAAAACTCTCAAAAAAAAAAAAAAAAAACTAGATCCCTCATGGCCAACCATGACTTGACTAAAAAAAAAACCTCCAAAAAAAAAAAAAAAAAAAAAAAAAAAAAAAGAAAAAAGAAAAAAAGAAAAAGAAAAAAAGAAGGGCAGTTGTGGAGATGTAAAGGTAACCCTCTACGGAACGTTCTCCTTGTAAGAGAACTACAGGAGAGGAACTGCAGACAGTAAGTACAGCGTGTTACCCTTCTGAGACAGGGTAACAGCCCCAAAGGCCAAAGGGACCATCACAAGGTTTCTGTTACATTTGGTTTTGTTTAAAGAAAGGAGTCAAGCAGGTTTCTACATTGATAACGTAGGACGACGCAGAATGACAGGCGCGTTCTAGAGCAGTATCTCAGCACTGAGAAGAGAGAGGGTCTGGCACAGGCAGAAGGGACAGCCCTGGCGGCTCAGCCACTGGAAAAGGAGCGACCAAGGTAGGCTGTGTTCTGTGGCAGGAGGCTGCTCCGATGGATCAGTGGGAACACACGAGATTCTGTTCTAATTCGATTTTCTTGATGCAGCTGAGACCAGGTTGTTAGCTGTGAGGATGAGCGGAGGGAAACTGGAGATTTGAGGAGTATGAAATGAATGTCTAAGAGTCGAGCAGGCAGAGGTTCTGACAATTACATATATCTGGCAGGTAATTAGGACAAAAACTCGATACCAAGATGCTCCCCTACATCGTACACTAGTGGTGTGTTCTATCACCGAATCAGGGTTAGCTCCGATTCCGTCTTCTCGGTACATTTGTGGTTGAATAACTTACATATACATTCATAGCCCCCAGATACGACGACACTGGAAACTTTCAAAGACCAAATGATATTCAGTGCTCTGTGTTTAAACAGGGATGAGAATGAGTAACATTTTATTCAGAAAGACTTACATGGGTTTGCCATGAACTGCAGGATATTAAAAAAGCTAAGTAGGTAATTAAACAGTACATCCCATTTGCCCAGATAAGGGAAACTTCATACTGTCTTACATAAAGCCTCAGGGACACATCTCACAGAGCAATGCAATTCTTTGTTCAATAAAAAGGGGTTACACTCATCACCTGACAGCACTGTGATGGCGGATTTCCGTATTTAGATCAAGAAATAAGAAAATGCAAAAGATTCCTTCCTACCTTTTCATCCAAGGCTGAACCTTTTGTTTGTTCACTGAAGTCTCCCAGTGTTTCATTTTTAGAGGTCTCATTAGTAACTTCTAAGGAAATATCTGCACCTTTAGAATCATGTTTTATCTCTTGTGCTGAAGAAAAACAATATTCAATTATGAAACTAAGTGACAAAAGAACCGAGTCATTCAAAGACTGTTCTAAAAACCAACTTAGAGTTCAGAGGCTCTTTTAAAGTAGAGTTTTCAACAAATTATACAATTCCTTCCTTCCTATAAAAATAACTCCATTTTATGGTATAAAAAGTATTGATAGTAAGATATTTAAGAATTGCCATGTTCCTCTTGTAAGAGGCCTGAGGTGATCTTTGAAAATGGTTCGCTATTCACATGACCCAGAGAACCCCACAAAGTCATGCAAATCAAGAGGTTCAAATCTTCGTGTTCACTTTAAGAACGCTCGTGAAACTGCCCAGGCCATCAAGGGTATGCATATCCGTAAAGCTGCCATCTGAAGGATGTCACTTTACAGAAGCAGTGTGTGCCATTCCGTCATTACAAGGGTGGAGTTGGGAGATGTGCCCAGGCTAAACAGTGGGGCTGGACACAAGGTCGGTGGCCCAAAAAGAGTGCTGAATTTTTGCCATACGTGCTTAAAAATGCAGAAAATAATGCTGAACTTAAGGGGTTAGATGTAGACTCTGGTCACTGAGCACACTTAGGTGAACAAGGCATCCAAGATGCGCCAACGTACGTACGGAGCTCATGGATGGAGTAACCCACACATGAGCTCCCCCTGCCACAGCGAGATGATCCTCGCCGAAAAGGAGCAAACTGTTCCTAAACCAGAAGAGGAAGTCGCACAGAAGAAAAAGGTATCCCAGAAGAAACTGAAGAAACAAAAACTTATGGCATGGAATAAGGTCAGCATAAGATAAATGTAGATAAAAGGAAAAGGGAAAAAAAAAGAATTGCTGTTGATCACATCCAGCTATTTTTAATATGTATGTATGTATATATATGTATGTGTGTATATATGTATGTGTATATGTGTGTATGTATATATGTATGTGTATATGTGTGTATGTATATATGTATGTGTATATGTGTGTATGTATATATGTATGTGTATATGTGTGTATGTATATATGTATGTGTATATGTGTGTATGTATATATGTATGTGTATATGTGTGTATGTATATATGTATGTGTATATGTGTGTATGTATATATGTATGTGTATATGTGTGTATGTATATATGTATGTGTATATGTGTGTATGTATATATGTATGTGTATATGTGTGTATGTATATATGTATGTGTATATGTGTGTATGTATATATGTATGTGTATATGTGTGTATGTATATATGTATGTGTATATGTGTGTATGTATATATGTATGTGTATATGTGTGTATGTATATATGTATGTGTATATGTGTGTATGTATATATGTATGTGTATATGTGTGTATGTATATATGTATGTGTATATGTGTGTATGTATATATGTATGTGTATATGTGTGTATGTATATATGTATGTGTATATGTGTGTATGTATATATGTATGTGTATATGTGTGTATGTATATATGTATGTGTATATGTGTGTATGTATATATGTATGTGTATATGTGTGTATGTATATATGTATGTGTATATATATGTGTGGGTGTGTGTATCTATATATACACACATATATACACACGCACGCACACACACATACACATGCATGCACACACACATATATACACACATATATATATATGTGTGTATATATATATATATGTGTGTATATATATATATATGTGTGTATATATATATATATGTGTGTATATATATATATATGTGTGTATATATATATATATGTGTGTATATATATATATATGTGTGTATATATATATATATGTGTGTATATATATATATATGTGTGTATATATATATATATGTGTGTATATATATATATATGTGTGTATATATATATATATGTGTGTATATATATATATATGTGTGTATATATATATATATGTGTGTATATATATATATATGTGTGTATATATATATATATGTGTGTATATATATATATATGTGTGTGTATATATACACACACACATATATCTATATATACACACATATATATATATGTTCTCTGAAAAAGCTTTTCATTGACTAGGAAAGCAGAACTGCAAACAATTCAACACGTTCGAAGTTCGGCCACAACAGGGAAGAACGACGTCTGTAATGTGACTATTATTACTCAAGCAGCTGATGCCATTCGTCAGATCTGACACCAGTTTGTGAGATTATTCTACGATTTTAAGTAGCCCAAATGTCATAACCATGAGCTATTTCAGTGGGTCTCCTTCCCATTATAACATCTTAACATTAATTACTTCTGGTATTGATTTCCTTGCCAAATGGGATCTATGAACTAAATTGTTAAAAATTGTTAAAGGATGACTAAAACTCTGCAAACCAAGTAGTTGAGTTTACAGAGAATTCTGCCAAAACAAGTGAGATTAAAGTACATGTAAACATGCTCCCATTTTATTTATGATTTTCGACACAAATACACTTCCAAAAAAGGTTGCAAAAGTTGATCTGCTGGGTACGAATAAACCTTAAGAACCAAACTCTTTGTAACTGCTCTTTTCCAGATGTGGCTTACATAAGGCTGGTCAGATGTAATCTACTTTCATATATATTCTCCAAAAGATCTAGTCTGTGCCAGAGACAACACAAATTTAGAGGGAAAACATTGGAAGCTGGTTACTACTATTTACCAAATACCTTTCCACCCTATTTTTATTTTTTCCTTAAGATTTCTATTTTAAACACACACCAAACCAGAACTCATATCAAAACTCCTGTCTTTTCAGATACCAAGTGAGTTATTTTGCACAGGAGTTTTTTTTTTTTTCTTTTTTTTGCTATAGGGCACATGCGCTTACCAGAAAGACAGAGAGAGAGCGACAGAAAGTGAGAAATCACCCCCCGGGGGGGATGGTCACGCCGCAATCCCTTCTTCTCCATTCTCCTCTCGGGATCTTGGGCACGCATGCACATGCACCCGGTGTGAGTTTAAGCCACCAGGTTTGGAACTTGAACCGCAGTCAACTACGGGGGAGTCCAGTGACATAGTCATTACGCTAACTGCTGGTCCCCACAAAAGGAAGTTTTGTTTAACAATAAATCTTTGATAACTCAGTTTCAAAGAAAATTTATTTTTATAGCCACTGTCTGTTTTCCACTGATTAAAGAGGAGCCAGCAATAACATCTTATTATTAAATACCACAAGCGACAAGTCTTGGCTGAGAGATGTCTTATTTTGGTTAAGTTTCAAAAAATTAAAGTCCAGGTCGCTCTCACAAATGATTAACTATTAAAATTGCTTTTACCAGTGTGCAATTATTTTTTTCCTTGTGGGAAAATAAATGTGAAGGAAGAGGCACATGGAGAAGAGGCATGTGACGGAGACCAGTGCTGGAAGCTGTGCATGCAGTACCCGGCTGCAGCCGCTTTTCTACACATGCTGGGTATTCGCTTGTGCATCCGACCAAGCCTATGCTAAAACACAGCGCTAACCCTATAAACCAAAGCAAATTCGATAAAATATTCATCAACTTTCATAAAAATATGCGATTCTAATTCTGAAGTCTCTATAATACATTCGCACGTTTTCAGAGTAACATAACATACAGACTCAAGGACACCTCCCGCATGCTGTTCATTTTGTTCTAGATCTGACATTATCTTTGTGAAATATTCAATGAAGTCACAATCCAAAGTACTTTAACTATTGGAATCTATCCAAGTTTTAAAGAAAAAAAGGCCAACAGCAATTCCATGAAATATAACGGAAATCAATCCCCTATGTTTCTGTCAGTTTGAAAAACACTAGAAGCTGACATGAGGTTGTATACACACTGTCTAAGAACTTGGTTTTGATTTTTAGCTT